ACAACAACTGTTAAGGTATCAAACAGATTATAAACAAATGAGGGAGCGTTCGGTTCAAATTGTGGTCGCAGCGTTAGAAGTAACTGGTGGCATTGGTTTACATCAGCAGATCCCATGGTATTTACCAACTGACATGAAACATTTTCGTGAGCTGACAACGTCAACATGTGACTCTTCGGTGTAGCATGCGGTAATTATGGGGCGCAAGACGTGGGAATCACTACCGGCTAAAGTACGACCTCTGCCTAAACGCTATAGCGTAGTATTGACACGCAATACTAGCTATAAAGAGAGTGTTTCGAATAATGTGGGCGTTGCCGCGAGTTTCTACGAGGCACTAGAGCTCGTGCAACAACAAGGATCGAAAGTGGATCAGGTGTTTGTCATTGGAGGAAGCGCCGTGTACGCAGAGGCGTTGGCGTATCGAGGTTGTAATAAAGTGTACTTGACAAAGGTGAAGGGTCAGTTTGAGTGTGATGCTTTTTTCCCTTTAGAACAATTGATGCAGAGTTATAGAGTAGTTGCGGAATCAGAGATACTCAAAGAAAATGGTGTAAAGTTTCAATTCATGGAATGGGAGCGAAAAAATAAAGAATTGGAGGATGTCGAGACCACAGTGTTGGTGGATAAAACGACGCCACATGAGGAGATGCAGTATTTAAATCTGATTCGAACAATTCTGACGCAAGGAGCAAAGCGTGATGACCGAACTGGCACCGGGACGCTGTCAGTGTTTGGAGCGCAAATGAGATTCAGTCTAAGGAGCAATGTCTTTCCACTGCTAACGACAAAGAGGGTATTTTGGCGAGGTGTGGCCGAAGAGTTGCTGTGGTTTATTAGTGGAAATACGAATGCTCACGCGCTTCAGCAGAAGGATATTCACATTTGGGACGGCAATGGATCGCGTGAATACTTGGACAGTAGAGGACTGCAGTCACGTGAAGTGGGAGATCTTGGACCAGTATATGGTTTTCAATGGCGTCATTTTGGTGCTAAGTACACGGACATGCATGCCGACTATACCGGTCAAGGCGTCGATCAGCTTGCCGAGGTAATCCACAAGCTCCGTACGAACCCCAGTGACCGCCGGATTGTGCTGTCAGCTTGGAATCCAGCTGATCTCAATGAGATGGCGCTACCCGTGCCACATGTTTTGCCAATTTTACGTGGCAAATGGTGAGCTGTCATGCCAGATGTATCAGCGCTCGGCCGATATGGGATTCGGTGTGCCATTTAACATTGCCAGCTACGCGCTGCTAACGCGTTTAGTAGCTCAGGTGGTCGGACTAAAACCTGGCGAGTTCATTCATGTCATCGGTGATGCGCATATATATTTGAATCATGAAGAGCCACTGATAAAACAGCTGACGCGTACACCGCGTCCGTTCCCGACCCTTCACGTAAATCCTGAGAAGATTGCAAGCATTGACGACTTTACATTTGAAGATTTCGAAGTGCGGAATTATCACCCGCATGGTGCAATTAAGATGACGATGTCGGTTTAAATGCATTGGTGTGGTGTAGGTATTACGCGAGGTGTGAGAGTTTAATAAACGAGACACGTTGGGGGAAAATCACAAATTTATAAAAATGCTAAAAAGTTTTGAGGTTTTTTATTGTAGCAAGTAAAGATAGGGAGGTAAGTGTATACTTTGAAGTATACTTGCTCTTTTTCTCTATCTTCCGGTTGATCTCCTGAATGAATGATGCTGTTGATGAATGCTTTCAAAGGATTATGGACTGTCGTCTATCGTGCTTCTTTTTTTCATTGTCCTACCAATACAAACCACCGGCCCTCCGACCTGCTGGACTTTTTCTAAACTACGATACATCATAAATGATTATGTTCTGTAAAAGGCTACAGACAGCCTACTCTGGCCTGGTTTATTTCTCAAGCAAGTAATTACTTGTTTGAATAGCCGTTTTTTCTATCCATATACAACACAAAAGGCTTGTATCGTACTCAACACTGATTTTGATGCAACAGTGCAAAAATAGCTTACAGATTGTACTCTCATTTATGTGCGATACCTTATTTTCGCCCATTCGTTGTCGAAAGTAGTGCGATGGCGCAAAGTTGCCTCAATGAAGTAAAGTAGCACGACCAGAGCCGCCTAATGCGTAATGGAGGAACCCTCTCTTCCAATCAATGTCTTGGCGCTCGGAAACGACTGTAAAGTTGGCGTTGATTGCCAATTATGATCTGAAGGCGCGAGTGGGTTGGAGATGAAAGCGTGCGAGTATTTTACGGAAGATAATGATGCAGTTCATTGAGAAACTTACATTGACAATGTGTTGGAGAAAGGTGGATGATATTGCGTCTGTATGTCTATGCTACAGTGCGTTGCATCTTTGTGAAGCAGAAGCAGGAAGGAAGCTGATTGAAGCGTTGAATATGCGTGCAATATGTGGAGGAAAACGGCGTGAGATACAATAGAAAACGAGGCTTGCAACTCTAGTAGATGAACAGTATAATAGCGTTGTAAAAAAGACCGACTGCAGCGGATATACAAATGTTTGAGTTAGAAAGCTCCTAGCAGTGTCTTCTTACGTTAACGCACAAGTTCATTATGCAGTTATGAACTGCAAGAGGTGATCTGGCCAGCGAGTTAGACCTAACTACCAGAACCATAGTTGGAGGCTGAGAGACTAGAGAGCAGTGCCAGCATAAAAGGTTTTTTGTTTGACACCAACTTATGCACTTTTCTGTCAAGTCGTAGCAGCACGTGATCTCACTTATCAAACTTCCACTCGTATTAGCACATTGCAGCACCACGTTGGGTGATACTAGAGCCAACCGTCTCATCGGCTTCATTTAGTTGGTCCAGGTACTTGGTGAGGAAAGTAAGAATTACACCATTAGACCAACCAAAACCGAATTGCGTCTTGTACTCGCCACCGTCACCGACTCCACCCAGTTGATGGGCATTGTACTTCTCAAACATAAGACCAGTTTTTTGCCATGCCACAAAACCAGCCTTGACCCACGTCTTCACGAGGTGCTTTGCAAGTGTGCGCGCTTTTACAGTGCCTGCTGCCAGCAGACCTTCAATGATGATATCCTGCATTGGCGGCCACGCATTAGGCGCATCCCATTGCTGGCCTGTTACAGAAGTCGTGGTTTGGACACCACCTTTCTGCAAGAGCCCAGACTTTTCCAGAGACGCCACAATCTTGTTTAAACGCGCTGAGTCGGATGAATCAAACACTCCTCCCCACAGCGGCGAGTAATTGGACACGGACACCACCTTGGATTGCTCGCGGGAGTCCAGCAAATAGTCCTTCCAGCATTTCTCCGACTCGCTCCACAGCACAGCGTCCATTGCCGTCATTCGAGCTTTTGCTGCATCAAGAAATCGTGCCGAAGCAACAGAGTTTCCCAGTATCTCATGAAACTTTGCAAGGTTAAGCTCCACTCGGTGTAGAATTGAATTCAGCTCCACAGGAATCACTCGGGAGGTCTGAATCGTTTTGAGTGTAGAATAGTCGCCGAACCATCGACTACTAAAGTCCCAACCGCTTTCTGCTGCCGCGATGATTTCATTGTAGATGGAAGCTTTGTTCACCGTAGCATTTTTGCCGAGAATAACCGTAGACGCTGTAATAACATCCTCACGGTACGATTCGGGTCGCGGTTCATCTGCATGCGCTTCGTATCGGTTGAGCACAAACATCTCGCGTGCAGATTGTGAAGAGTCGGATCCGGGTATCTCTACTGCATGACCATGATCTCCGCGTTGCATCCAAAAATCGTATTCGCGCTCAAGCAAAGGCACTGCACCACGCAAGTACGGAAGATCCCAGGCGCTGACATCTCCATCGGAAGCATTTCGCCTGTCAAGCTTTGCAACGAGTCGTACCATATCCGAGAGCATTGGCGGCTGCGAACGTGTAAGATAATAGATGCGTCCTCCATTGGGAACAAACCCAAATTCAGCGACATATTCCAGCAAGTGGTTCACGACGCCGCGAGCTGTTTGATGCAAACCGCTCACCAGTAGTCCCTGAACAATCCAGTACGAATCCCAGTAGTAACTCTCACGAAAACGGCCACCAGGTACAACAAGAATGTTGTCTCCATTGAACTGACGTGCTAGTGCGCTCAGTGACATATTTGATGCTGCATCAATTGGAAGTGAGCGGAGAAACGAACTCCTAGATACTTGATTTGCTGAGACAGAGGCAGGGACGCGAGCTAACAATTTCCACAGCTTGTGTAGCTCCATAGCCCAACCACGCAGACTTTTATTTCCAATCTCTGCAATTTGCGATGGCATTTCTTTCTCTTGATAATCTGGAGGGGTGATAGGTATCAACTCTGCACCTGGTGGGTCAAAGTGTTGGTCTACAAACGTAGCAAGTTGAGTTTTCCATTCCTCTCCGTTTGTTGCGTTTCCAAACATTGTTTTGAGCCTTTGGAACTTGGTCAGAACTTCGTTTACTGAAGAATTGACTTTAATCGGCATATCTACAAAGTGTTTACTGTCGGAGAAGAGCTTTTGCATCTGCACCTCATGCAGTAACTCACCTCGACAGTAAATACGCTGAAGCTGTTGGATTTCCAGCATTCTAAGGTTGCCATCTACTTCACTCGCTGTCTCAGACATAAGTTTGGACTGCAAAGGAGCTGAGGTAGGACCGATGTACGTTCGGCTTGAAACAAGAGCCGTCGTAACGGACCAAAGGAAGGGAAAGAGCAAGAAGTAGGGAGGCGAGAAACGTTGGGAGACCATTGGCGACGTAGTGATTCACGATTGGACGTTCCAGGATATTAACAGTCGATGTGTTAGAATGATCACACAAAATGATCACGTTGGACTTGAAAGAGAAAATGAAAATATGTGACGTTGGTATGGGAGAAGATTAGTCATCGTCTGCTTTAGGATCGTCCCTAACTGCATTTGCAAGCCTTGTCAATCGAGAAAAGGCCGCAGACCAATCCAATGAAAGCCAAGAGTTATTTTTTTAGCACCAGACCGACCATGTCGCACGTACTGTCATTCAAGCTCGTCCTGGCCACCATCTATCTCCGTGGAACACCGCTTCATCGAGTTTTATACTGACAACGACTGCAACTGGATTGGCTGCCGCCCCTGATTGGGTGCTCTTAGACTATATGCCACTGGAAGAGAGACTGCACGCTCTATCTAACCGACTTTGGCTTTATTTTCTCTTCCGTAATGTCGCTCATGCTTTTGAGCCCACCCACCACCTTGATTAACCACATCATATAATGTGACATCAACAGGATTCTTAAATCTGATGTCACGTTCACGCCCATACGTAAATACTGGAATCTATAACAGCGACGCCTGCACTGAGACGCTTCTGTCGCTTCTCAAAAGCTTGGTTTAATGAGGACGCTAATACTCGATACCATAAATACATATACGATCAAGACGCCAACTTACGCTATGATTATTGCTGCCGATTGAGTTTTGCAAGAGGGGTAATTGGCTGGACGTGGTCTTCGCAAAAATTCATGAAATTGTCTTGCCGTCATCGGAGGACGCAATCAGTTCTATCTTCTCTTTGTAGCTTCTCCGGTTTGTCATGAAGGTTATAAGCTTAGCTTGGAGCACAAACAAGAGTAAATACATGCAAATATATAGATATAACAGATACAAGAAATTACGTAAGAATGGCTTGTAAAATCAATGAATCAAGTAAATAATAGTGTGTCACATACTGACGAGTTGAAATATACAGAAACTGTGTTGCTGGACATGTCGAAGTAAGTGGTTGTGCAAGGCATATGCCACAGCACGATTGCCATCATTCCTAACAATTGAATTATTGGGCTAACACATATAGACATTTTTTGGCTTATTCCTAAACTATAGCTAGGTATAAACCTTAGTACAATACGTAGCTAGCAAATATTGTGTTCACGATCATTTGGCATGACGGAAGCCACCATCGCTGATTTTTCAAATGCCGACAGCATAGCACACTCGTGTGAGTATAATTTTGCGACATACCGTAATAGTTGCAAGGTCACACGAAGCTTGGACTTCTGGCACCTCCCATCCTCTGCACTGCGACTTCTGCAAATTATGATACACCACACCCGGAAAGTCACCAAGCTTTTCGTAATCAACTAACAATACCACGTATATGCGCCTTTATTGTCATTTTGCTCATAGGTGTACACAAAAGGTGTGTGTTTTACGTACACACCTGCCACACCATTGTGGTATGGCTGTACTTTTAAGGTTGATGTGACCATCTGATCTTTGACGCATCCCACCGTTCGAGCAAAGGTGGTACCGAAGACAAAGGCTTAAACCCTTAAATAAATACCATAGTGATTTGCTTTTAAAAATGTGGAGAGTTCAAGGACCTGTGGATCAGAGAGAGAGGGGACCACAGAAGAGACGCGAACGTTGGATCAAAAAGATTCGCGGTCAACAATCACTACCGGTGAACCGGCTAACCAGTACTGAGAGGAGTGGACCGCAGTTCCAAATCGGAAGATCGCGGTCTCTCAAGGTATACCTCGATT